TCTTAGTGCCAAGGTGACGCCCATACCTTAATATTGAATTACGACAGTCGAATTGTTTACGTTGCTGTGTACAACGGCACCCAAATGGATAGGCTAGTATATGCACGGCGACATGGTGCGTGTAATTGCACCCCGACCGTTCACAATAACAATCACTGGGTCATCTGACCCGCACAGGCCGCGGTCATTTTCTCAGTGGTGCATGTTAAATATACAAGAGAATATATATCCATTGTGAACACACATGACATGAGATTCAACAATTGTGGATGGAAATGTTGGGTGATGTCATTTCCTTACATGGCAAGATTTACGGAATTTTGTGTTGGGGATGTAATTATAGGGTAAGGGGTGGGGGTTGTGTGGGTGGTTGTAGGGGTGTTGCTTGTAGCTGAGAGGCGCTGGATATTGGGGGAAACGGGGACTTGTTGTTGGGGTGGGAGTTGTAGGGTAGGGTAGAGGGGGTGGTTGTAGGAGAGATGGGTTGGTTGCAGTGGTGTGGTTGAAGGAGAGATGGGTTGGTTGCAGTGGTGTGGTTGAAGGAGAGATGGGTTGGTTGCAGTGGTGTGGTTGAAGGAGAGATGGGTTGGTAGCAGTGGTGTGGTTGTAGGAGAGATGGGTTGGTTGCAGTGGCAGTGGTGTGGTTAGGGGAGATGGGTTGGTTGCAGTGGGGTGGTTGTAGGGGAGAGGGGTTGGTTCCAGTGGTGTGGTTGTAGGGGAGAGGGGTTGGTTGCAGTGGGGTGGTTGTAGGGGAGATGGGTTGGTTGCAGTGGTGTGGTTGTAGGGGAGAGGGGTTGGTTCCAGTGCTGTGGTTGTAGGGGAGAGGGGTTGGTTCCAGTGGTGTGGTTGTAGGGGAGAGGGGTTGGATGCAGTGGGGTGGTTGTAGGGGAGAAGGGTTGGTTGCAGTGGGGTGGTTGTAGACGAGATGGAGTGGTTGTAGGGGAGATGGGTTGGTTGCAGTGGAGTGGTTGTAGGGGAGATGGGTTGGTTGAAGAGCGTGGGTGTTTATAGAGAAGAGGGGTTGACTGTATGAGGAGTGGGTGGTTGTTCTACAGATAGGTTGTTCATAGGAAGTCGGAATTCGTTAACATGTAATGTTTATACAGATGACGAAAGCTGGTATTATATTTTTCTAATTCATCGTATTAATTCTGAATAACGACTTACCCTCTATATGGCTTCCATTCAAGCCTTATATATATGTGTACTTACCTATGTCAATCCATGCCGCTGCTCAGACAGCTGGTGGCCGATTGCAACAGTTGGCATTTAGAAGCATGTTTGTGCTTGTTTCATGAAGGAGAGAGCCGACCCTTCTCATGACCTCCATAAATGACCTGCCCAGCTGGCAACTCATAAACAACTCATTTGACCTTTACGTAAATAATTCCGGTCAACAACAATCGTCAATAAGCCTTTGACCTTTTCAACTTGAAATGTTCCATGTCAAAAGGGACTTTCTTTTCAAAATGAAACTCTGTTTTACTAATATTTATAGGCCGCTAGTAACACTGTTCATGAACCTCCTTCTCCCTGTCAACCGTTCTCTGCTGTAGTCACCGACCCTCGTTGCAGTCACCCGAAACCTGTTGTAGTCATTACACCCCCGTTGTAGTCATCACACGCCGTTGTAATCACCGCATCCCTGTTGCATTCACCCTATAACCTTTGGAGTCGACCCATCCCGTTCGAGTCACCCTATAACGGTTAGAGTCGACCCATCTCCGTTGGAGTCACCCTATAACCGTTGGAGTCACCCTATAACCGTTGGAGTCGACCCATCCCCGCTCCCCGTTGTAGTCACTCAATCACCGATGTAGTCACCCCATCCACGTTGTAGTCACCCCATCCCCGTTGTAGTCACCCCATCCCCATTGTAGTCGTCACCCATCCCCGTTGTAGTCCACCCATCCCCGTTGGAGTCGACCCATCCCCGCTCCCCGTTGTAGTCACTCAATCACCGATGTAGTCACCCCATCCACGTTGTAGTCACCCCATCCCCGTTGTAGTCACCCAATCCCCGTTGTAGTCACCCATCCCCGTTGTAGTCCACCCATCCCCGTTGTAGTCGACCCATCCCCGTTGTAGTCCTGACCCATCCTCGTTGTAGCTGACCCATCCTCGTTGTAGTTGACCCATCCTCTTTGTAGTCGACCCATCCCCGTTGTAGTCGACCCATCCCCGTTGTAGTCAGGACTAATCACCCGATACACGTTGTAAAAAACCGCTCTCCGTTGTAGTCGCCCTTTCCACGTTGTAGTCATCCGATGAACGTTGCAGTCACCCGCTTTCAGTTGCAGTCATCGCATCCCCGTTGTAGTCACCCCATTTCCGTTGTAATCACTCGACACTATATTGCGGCGTTAAACGACAAACAAATAAACAAATCACTCGACCTCCGCTGTAGTCTCCCGCTCCCCGCCGTCAGTGTCTTGAACAAGTTACCGTGGGATGGTTTAAAGGCTTGTTTACTCATCCCTGTTCAAAATGACCGACATTGTGTTTCCCTCTCCTTGTACCAGCAAGGGTTAATAATCGTTCTTTTGCCGGTCAATGTTCGCAGATGATTAATAATAGACCAGATCATGTGTGTTGCACGAGCATGACCTGCGCGTTACCGCCACGCACTGATTACGCCCATAAACCGAGAACGTAATGACTAAAATCAGGGCGCTGAACTAAGTAATTAGGTCACGGACTCCAGCACCAGTTCACGCACTTCATCGGAGCTTACGACACAACGTCAAAACAGAACATCAACACACCAGCCGTGTGTATGGTAACTGTTGTCATGTTGGGACACTTGAGTATCTTCTGTTTGGCTGAGCATATTTAGTGCCACTTTAAGGTATATGTTTGGTAGGGGTGGGTATTGCAGAGAATTTTCATATTGCGATATATTGCGATGCGAAAGCATGTATTGCGATATGCATTGCAATATATTGCATGAAGTATTTTTAAACAGAAAAGTACTTATAATCGAGTTACTGTTTGATTTATAGAGCAAAAACACAACAAAATCACTATGCTTGATTAAGCTTTAATAACAAATTTTAATCATGATAAAATAAAAATGTGAATAATATTTGGCACAAATGAAACAAGAAAATATCCGAAGATTTCCGAGTGTTACGAACTTTTCCGAATGCATGTCAAAATACCGGTTTTCGATCAGCGTATCGCAATACGTATCGTTTTCATGTCTGAACCCACTCTCCTACCCAGAGTTCCATGCGGCAAGCCAGCATAGTATCTCTGCCACAGGCCAGAAAAATGTGACGATTCGTCACATCTTGCAATGTCCATTCAATATAATGTACAGATTACTTTAACTGTTTTATTTTTGACGAGTCTACACATCTAACTAAACATCTTTAATAGAATGGTTTAGTTTCACTGAGAAAATATCCTAAAACATGTAACACTATTTCGATTTGCGTAGCGATCCTTTGTTTACATAGGTTGTACGGCTCCACGTGCTGTCATCGAAGCTGATGGAGAGCAAACGATGCAGCCACTTTGATATCTAAATATTTACTGTCATAGACCTTACTGTCGCTGTTGTGGAAGAATATATATGTAACAATGTAAAACGTTATGAAGAGAGCGTCGAAAAGCTTTCGTGAGTCCAGTCTCTTCTTATTATGAATATGCGCGTTTGACTACAAACAAGAGAAAAGTCCGGTCACGTGATACGCAAATTAGCCTGTGGCAGTGATGTTATGTTAAGTCATCGCTGTGCCGGAGTGTGGTCTGAACCGGTAAATACCTGTAAACCGGTTATATTGCGCAGTCCTAACGTTTGGTTACAAGGCAAATCTTAGTTTTGGTTGGTAGACAGTAGGTCGTTCCGGTAGTCAAGTTTTAAAGCGTTCACTCGTCACAATACTGAAATCATTGCAACTGAATATCTCAGAAGCCAGACATCTTGCAACACCGGCTGAAAATGTTGGTACCTGTTGCCATACTGCGACGAGAAAACTGTGATATACCTGTATGATAGCAGTTCCGCCTAATCCTGTTTACGTACCTCGGGTGATTCAGGTCACTTGCCGTTCTCGTCTGTGTAGGCTTAGCGAGCATTCCAGGATATATTTTATACTAAGTACACTGATATAATTATAATGTTTAGACGCAGAAATCGCTATGTACAGAGCTCTTTTTACAATATCATAAAATGACCAAACGAGATCATTCAGAAAATTATATAAATCCTGTATTAATTTGCGTAATTATTATAAAGACATTAGACAATTCAATATTTCAAATTGCTGGAATATTGCCAGAAACTCACGCTGACGCGAACAAGAAAAATACAAGTCTCAATTCAGTGTAAACCATATACAATACACCAGGTGTACATGTGATTGCATAAATGTATTCGTCTACCTTCACACGCCAGTAACTTCGGCAGAAATAACATCGTGCACGGACGATGATCTGATCTACTCGGAGTCATTTGGGAATATTCAGTGATGTAAATGAACTATGTATCAGTTATTAGCCAGAAAACATAAACGGTTACTAACGGTTATTTCAATATACAAACTTAACGGATCGCGATGCTGGTGGTTTAAAACAAGCCGAGGAGCACAATATATGTATAGATGACAAATGAATCATCACGTTCTATGAATAATTCTTCACATCACTTGATAATCGAGAGATGTTAGTCGAGTGTGTCTACATGGGACTTTCATCCATGGACAATCTGGCGTAGTGGAACCATTTCGCGATATAATTAAGCATGATATAATTAAGCATGTATGCATGACTTTCATCCATGTATGAGTGGTCACTTCCTGTATGTCTACATGGGACTTTCATCCATGGACAATGTAGTGGAACCATTTCGCGATATAATTAAAGTATGGAACCATGGGACTTTTCCGCGCGTATAATTAGGCACGGTGTATGACGTCACTTCCTGTATGTCTACATGATGGAGAATGGCAGAAGTGGAAACTATAATTAGGCACGGTGGACGTCACTTCCAACAGAATGGCCGACAAATATGGGACCAACAAGGCTGTGTTGGCCAAGTTCCTGGATCTGGAACAACCTGCTGACTTGGTCCAGGCGGAGTACATCTGGATAGACGGGACAGGGGAGGGCATCAGGACCAAGTGCAGGACCCTCGATTCAGAACCCAAGTGCCCGGAAGGTAGGCGTGCAACACGCGTGTTGACCATATGATACACATATTATACACTCGTCGACCATACAATACGCATATAGTATACATGTATTACACTCGTTGATCAAACGATACACATACAGTATGTATTGAGCATACAGTACACACATACAATACACTCCTCGAACATATATGATGTCGTCACTACATGTCTGGAATAATGCCGATGTGACGTAAAGTCCAACTCCACGAACATATAATACATATTTCACGTGCTGAACATAATCCGCATACAATATACTTGTCAACCCTTCAATAACGTTCTGAACACAATATGCAAACATTACACTTGTTGACCATACAATGCACATACTGTATACGAGCAAAGTACACATGCAATACACTCACAATTCACATGTCGAACTCAGTAGACATACAATACACCTAATGAACACAATATACAAGCAATGCACATACAATACACGTGTCGAGCACAATAGACATACAATATACTTACTGAATACAATACACACACAATACACTTACTGAACACAATACACATATAATACACGTGTCAAACAAAATAGACATGCAATACACTTACTGAACACAATACACATACAATACACGTGTCAAACACAATAGACATACAATACATTTACTGAACACAATAGACATACAATACACGTGTCAAACACAATACTCATGCAATACACTTACTAAACACAATACACATATAATACAGATGTCGAACACAATAGGCATGCAATACACTTACTGAACACAATACACATATAATACACACGACGAACACAATAGACATAAAATACACCTACTGAACTCAATACACATATAATACACGTCAAACAAAATAGACATGCAATACACTTACTGAACACAATACACATATAATACACATGTCGAACACAATAGACATGCAATACACTTAATGAACACAACAGACATATAATACAGATGTCGAACACAATAGACATGAAATACACGTATCAATCACAATAGACATGCTATACACTTACTGAACACAATACACATATAATACAGATGTCGAACACAATAGACATGCAATACACTTACTGAACACAATACACATATAATACAGATGTCGAACACAATAGACATACAATACAATTACTGAACACAATACACGTGTCGAACACAATAAAGGTACAATACACAAACAGTACACTTATAATACATACTCTTGCTGATGTTACAGCAAACCCATACCTACACTTACTGACCAGAAGAGACCCACTTTCAACACATGTGGAACATCCACTACATGTGCTTATCACGCAATATACTTGTTTATCATGCAGTACACGTGCTTATCACGCAATATACTTGTTTATCATGCAGTACACGTGCTGATCACACAATATAGGCCTACTTGTTTATCATGCAGTACACGTGCTGATCGTGTAATGCAGACGCTGGTCAGATATGACTGGCACTGGTAATATATAATCACAGTATGAATACGCTACGTGATGATCATAACAAGTAACTCTCCAAACAATAAGGCTTGACAGTGTCACCTGTGGTGATGTTTTCACGTTGATACAAGGCAACTGTAGCTTGATTCAGGGTCTTGCCAAAACAACTGTGTTTAATATACCCATTAGGCTTCGAATTTGATCAACCATGCAATACCCGTGAAAATCTGGGTTAGAATTGATCTTCAGGAGCCCATGCTTGTCGTACGAGGCGACTAACTGGATCGGGTGGTCAGACTCGCCGATCGATGCTTATGACATCAATCACTGGATTGTCTGGTCCTGACTCCATTATTTACAGACCGTATAGCTGGAATATTGCTGAGTGTGGCTTTAAACAAGAAACAAACAAACCTGGCAAAGTATTTGTATTCATACATTGCAGACTGCCCAATCTGGAACTACGATGGCTCCAGCACCTACCAAGCTGAAGGCTCGAACTCCGACATGTACGTCAAGCCAGTGGCGCTGTTCAGGGACCCCTTCCGCCGCGGCAAGAACAAGCTGGTGTTATGCGACGTGTACAAGTATAACATGCTGCCTGCTGGTACGTGGTCGTCGTCGTCGTCGTCGTAATTAACGCAGGACTAGCCCAGTGGTGCTAGCTCCTCACTCCTAAGACCCGGTTCGAGTCTCCATATCTGTATATACTGTGTGAAACCCTTATAATTGTTTCTTTCGCCACTAGATATTGGGGGCGGTGGGGTCGTCTGGTGGTTAAAGCGTTGGTTCGTCATGCCGAAGACCCGGGTTCGAATCCCCACATGGGTACAATGAGTGAAGCCCATTTCTGGTGTCCCCCGCCGTGATGTTGCTGGAATATTGCTTAAAGCGGCGTAAAACCAAACTCAGTCAGTCAGTCCGTCACCAAATATTGGTCGCACTCGCTGATCACGTCAATATAGTTGTGGGTTCGAATCCCGAATTATGTTTCAAGGTTCGTCTGTACCATACTATGCTCTTAGATTTCTCCAAGTGTTAAACGTCAAAGATATGCACCAATTCAAGCTTTCCTCCCACGTTAAGCTGACGCGTGAAGAATTGATCTTCAGTAACCCATACTTGCCGTAACAGGCGACTAACGGGATCGGGTGGTCAGGCTCGCTGACTTGGTTGACACATGTCATCGCATCCCAATTGTGTAGATCGATGATGATGCTGTTGATCACTGGATTGTCTGGTCCAGATTCGATTATTTACAGACCGCCGCCATATAACTGGAGTGCGGCGTAAAACTAAACTCACTCACTGATTGAAATGATGGAACACTCTACAGGCAAGTTTAAACGGACATCTGTTGTAATTTGTCACCGTAATGTAATGTAGTGTAATGTCACTTGATTATTTACAGACCGCCGCCATAAAGCTGGAATATTGCTGAGCGCAGCGTTGAACAACAACCAAACCTAACCCATATTAATCTGACAAGCCGTAATGTGACTGGAATACTGTTCAACCACAGTCAACTTTACTGTGATAGGGGCGGTGGGGTGGCCTTGTGGTTAAACCGTTCGCTTGTCACGCCGAAGACCCGGGTTCAATTCCCCACATGGGTACAATGTGTGAAGCCCATTTCTGGTGTCCCCCGCTGTGATATTGCTGGAATATTGCTAAAAGCGGCGTAAAACCTAACTCACTCACTCAAGTGTACTGTGTTGTGTAAGTAATAGTCACGTATTTGGGTGGACATGCTTCGCAAAGCAAGTTACGCCAATGACCAAGATTCGTGTGGATGCAGGGTTTTCAGTCCAGTCGTGTTATGATCGCAAAACCATTTTAGTCTCGCACATTTATGCGGGAGAAGGCACAATAAGAACAAATAAATCCTCAGAAACAATTAATGCTGTACTTAGATAGAGAATAATGAAAACGTATTGAGATGCATTCTGTGATACGAAGACCCCTGCTAGTGCTGATTGCCAGGAGTTGCTTTTAACAGTCTACAGTCCGTTTGAGTCAGAAACGGACCGATGAATTGCAAATTTTATCATTGTACAAAATTGCCACATAAATATAAATAGTACACATGTTTATCATTTACTAATACCCAACAGCTTTCTTATATTTGAAAATTTTCCGGACTCCACCAGAACAGTTCTTTAAGAAACTATCATTAAAATTTTGACACAGTTCACTATTTGTTACGAGGGAGGAGTGCAGAGAAAGGGACAGCCAGGTGTTAGAGAAGCACGTGCACAAGTGCCCACCAAGTTATTGATTCATTAGCCTGTGCTGTGCCGTCTCCATCCTTTCTCGCACACCTGTCTGTCCCTTTCTCTGCACTCCTCCCTCGTAACAAATAGTGAACTGTGTCAAAATTTTAATGATAGTTTCTTAAAACGTTTCCATTCATTTAGTACAACATACAGCGGGTATGTATGTGTGATTCTGGAAAATCTAACCGTTTATCTACAACATGGCCGTTTATATCAACAAAAGGCGAATTTTCAGAACTGACGTAAGTCACATGACACGGAACGAGTGACACGTGGTTTGTATAGAACCGCTTACGCAAGATGTCGTTTAGACCGGTTAGATGTGTGATAAACTCGTGAATATTTAACCTTATGTCTGGTTTATGAGCTATTTTGTAATGTGCTGGAAAGTTTAGTAGCTGATCGTAGTGATCAAACACCTGTGTGCTTACGCAAGAGTCAGCTTGCAGAGTGAGATTAGATCTTTGTTGTGTTAGGGTGGTGGCCCAGTGGTTGCAGAGTGAGATTAGATCTTTGCTGTGTTAGGGTGGTTGGGTAGCCCAGTGGTTAAAGCGTTCTCTCATCACGCCGAAGATCCGGGTTCGTGTGGAGCCCATTTCTAGTGTCCTCCGCCGTGATATTGCTAGAATATTGCTAAAAGCGGCATAAAACTCAGTCACTCACCCGCCACGTAAACTTAATAAACAGATAGTCGAGACTGGTTATTGTCTGGCATTGACGTTTATTTGTCAGTGAGTTTGTCCTCAGTACTTGGGGTACCTGGGCCGACCAAGGTGTAGTGGGACTGGGTGTACCATGCCTGGAGTAAGAGCCGTTTGCATATGTTCCTATGCTTGATAGTGTCTCGTCGAGCCCTGACGTAATAGCTTGACCTTTGACTTGTTACCTGCTGCACCGATGAAGATCCGGGTTACAACTGGTCTTCAGCAACCCACCACTGTCGTAAGAGATGACTAACGGGATCGGGTGGTCAGGCTCGCTGAATTTGTTCACACATGCCTTCGTATCCTAATTGTGTAGATCGATGCTGTTGATCACTGGATTGTCTGGTCCAGACTCGATTATTTACAGACCGCCGCTGTATAGAGGAACTATTGCTGAGTGCGGCGTTAAACAACAAACAAACGCACACATCTGCTGCACCCTCCTTGTGACCAGACATTTAATAGCCGCGATACAATGCCACCAATCCTTCAAAAGCAACCATTCGGTGCTCATTTGAAAATATCATTTGGTACTGCAATTATCTCGAGAACTATTTGAAAAGGTATAAAATTGCCTTGTCCTGTATTCAATAAATAGCAACACGGCATGGAAACCGGTTCGTGCGTACTGGTTGACATCTTTATTACAATGAACTGTGATGCTGCGGCAAATACGTAGCCAGTTCATGGCCTTCATCCGGGTAGTGTTGGAATGTCGTGAGAGACGTGTTGAACCACGTCAGCTGTCGTAACTTGCCTCGTTCAATACCATAGTACAGCGACGTGGATGCAACAGTGAGTTTGTACTGTGGCATCAGTGTATGAAATAAGGCCCGTCCGACCGCCCGAGACGGTCTAGATTTCTGACGGACGGTCTAAATTTACAGCTTGGTCCATACACCTGAGTAAAGTCACTTTATCTTGGTGTCTGGTCTGGTTAAATCCATTTTGGGCTGGTAACATTTTGAAGTTACCAGCTATGAAATCTGGCTGGGTTTTTGGATTATTTCATACACTGACTTTCGTCTGTCATACAAATATACCCAATACAAACCATGCGAGTGTAGAATATGTGCCACTTCTAGATTGCTAAAAACATCTCTTGGCTCTTTTTCGTTAACTTTTGTGAAGACAATTTATGAACTGATTTTTCTGTAAAATATGGACATTACAGAGAGTAGATGATAGTCTACTTGTAGTAGGGGCGGTGGGGTAGGTTAGTGGTTAAAGCGACGTGAAGTTGACAAGCGACATGTAACGCTTGATTCCTGACAATGCCAATCACCAACAATTCTGGAATATCTTACATTTGACTAGATCACACTAAAGACAAGGGTTCGATTCCCCACATGGGTACAATTCGTGAAGCCCATTTCTGGTCTCCCCCGCCGTGATATTGCCGGACCATTGCTAAAAGCGACGTAAACCCAACTCACTCACTCAATCTACTTGTAGTAGTCTGGCGTTATGTCGGACTACGGAGCTACGGTCCACTGGATGCCACGGCATAGTGTACCACGGTTATTGATCATTCGTTGTTTTAGTTAAGCAAAGGAAATAGTGCAGGATGTGATTACAACCCATCTCTCCGTGTGGGCACCCCTGTTACGTCCCTCAATGTCGGTCTTGATACACTTCATGGCCGAGTAGACAGTAACTATCCATAGCTCCAGGTCACGAGACGACTCATAGAAATGATAATCAGTAAGATTGTGATCGCGTGAAATAAGCCTTGAACTACAAAAATTGTTGCAAATAAAACAGTAATAAAGGCTACATTGATTGCCAGGTGTCAAGTAGATAAGATTTATTGGCTTAAGGTCTCGGTTTAGAGAGTGTATGTGATGTCGTCCGTGGTCACGCTGTGGTGGCCACGCCGCTGTGGTTGACATGAACCGGCGTCTGAAGTCAGCTCAGGGTCAGACTACATCCGAACTCCAGTCGATATGTGCAACCGAAGTAGTTAGGTTATAATAATGATAATAAAAATAACAATAATGGCTATTTATAAAGGGCTAGTACGCTTAGTCTCTGAATATATAATATTGATTGCAACAAATAAACCCATTTAAATTGAAAAGGAGTCCAAGGCAGACCAGAGATTCAGAACCTGGGGATATCTAGACTTGCTTCATTAGGGCTTTAGCACTGCATGGAGGGCTAGGCTGTAGGGAAAATAATATGGTTCAGGGACTGTGAGACAGACTAAGAAAGGGCCTGTTTCAACATACTTTATGCATGCCCAAGGCGCTAAGACATCCTTACCCCGGTTATCCCAAGCTACCTGTGATGCGCTTGAAGGTTACAAGTCATATGACTTATCCCACCGGGTACCCATCACGGTTGAGTACCTGGAACTGCAATTTATGTGAAAATTATACGATTTTCTAAGATTGAATATGTTAATTGTCATAAAAGTCGAGGCTTTGGCCAGTACTGCCAGATTTCAGTGAATTATCTCCATGGTTATATTGAGGTTAAGTCGTAAATAATGGCATTCGTGATGCTAAATGTTAAATGGTTGCCTTATTCGAGTCGCAATGTTGCCTTGTAACTGTTGTTACCATATTCTGCAGCTGGTTTCATGGGTGCCTCAAGTAGGAACATTGTACCCTCAGCTGGTCAAATTGTTGCCTTAAACTAGTAACATTGTGCCCTCAGCTGGTCAAATTGTTGCCTTAAACTAGCAACATTGTGCCCTCAGCTGGACAAATTGTTGCCTTAAACTAGTAACATTGTGCCCTCACCTCATCAAATTGTTGCCTTAAACTAGTAACATTGTGTCCTCACCTCATCAAATTGTTGCCTTAAACTAGTAACATTGTGCCCTCACCTCATCAAATTGTTGCCTTAAACTAGTAACATTGTGTCCTCAGCTGGTCAAATTGTTGCCTTAAACCAGGAACATTGTGCCCTCAGCCCATAAAATTGTTGCCTTAAACTAAGAACACAGGTGCCTTCAACTGGTCAAGTTGTTGTTGTTTTTAAATGCCTCAGACCTTTACCCTGTTTTCCTCAGAAACAAACCGTCGTCATTCCTGTCTTGCCGTCATGGAGAAGGCGAAGTCCTCGCACCCTTGGTTCGGCATTGAGCAGGAATATACGCTACTGGACACAGATGGACATCCGTTTGGCTGGCCGAAGAATGGATTCCCTGGACCCCAGGGTAGGTGACACTATTGTATGCTATTCCTAGCTATATGTAATCAACCAGTACCTCAATTTCGGTAGAATAGGCATCTTCCCTGGAGGACTTGGTCAAAGGTGGTTACTGGAAAAAGGGGTCATTGGTGCCAAATTACCGAGTAGAATCTGTTGGTGAGTGGTACCTCATTACATCTGTACTCATTTCTGGGGAATTGGTAAAAGGTAATTACTAATAAAATATTATATATCATATATTATTCCTTATACGACATGATCTTCTTCAAAAAATAGTTTAACTGAGCACCTTGAGTTAAGTAAATGAAGACAGTGAGATACATACGTGCATCGTAATTAATGATTACAAATTGTATTGTATACAACAACCCGTGAAGATCCGGATTATAATTGGTCATCAGCTACACATGCTTGTCGTAAGAGGTGACCAGCGGGATCTGGTGGTCAGGAGCACTCACTTGCTTGACACATGTTATCGTATCCCAACTGCTTTGAAGTTTGTATCATGTTGTTGATCACTGGATTGTCTGGTCCAGACTCGATTATTTCCAAACCGCCGCCATATAGCTGGAATATTGCTGCGTGCGACAGCAAACAAAAAAGTAAACTCAATCCTAACGACATTTAGGCTTTGTGTAACAGCAGGTGACCTTGTGGTAGAGACCCAGATAGATACAGTGTGATCCTAGATACACTCCCTGATGTGTACATACCTTTCTAAACAACGTTGCACTTTGCAATGCAGGTCCCTACTACTGCGGCGTGGGCTGCGACAAGGTGTACGGCCGCGATATCGTCGAGGCTCACTACAGGGCGTGTCTGTATGCGGGGATAGACATTGCCGGTTGTAACGCCGAGGTCATGCCAGCCCAGGTATGCGTGAGTGAGTTTAGTTTTACGCCGCGTTCAGCAATATTCCAGCAATATCACGGCGGAGGTACTAGACTAGCCCAGGTATGAAGAGAAAAGAGTGGACAAAGGTGAAATAAAGCAAAATGTGGTTTGTTTATTTTGCGGTAATATTTTGCTGTCAGTGGTAGAAATACAACTAAAAGTATAAAAGTGGGCTTGAAGAGGAATGCCAATAGAGTGACAGAATAAAGGTTAATGAAAACAGTAATGGCAAGTCAAAGCACCTTCCCTTTGGAATTCTTTTGAACTACGCAGTTTAGTCTAAACTGGAATATTTTTCTGTATTTTGAGTGATGTCAACCTGTGACAATTTGCCTGACATCTAACTTACTCTAATTTGGGAAGACCTATGTCAAGATGGAGTGTGCAAAGCTGTAATAGCTAGGTTAGTTGTTTCCTGGTACGTTACGCTCTGAACTGGACGCCGGGAAGTTGCAAGGGCAGTGTTGTTGACGTTGATGCTGGTACTCAGTTCAGAACATGACGTACCAGCAAACGGGTAACTGACCACGTGGGTCTCTCCGCCATCTTGTAATAGGTCAAGAGCACGTTACATAATCACAAAACCTTGTACGTCAAAACTAAGTTCTTTTTACTGTATTTCAGTGGGAGTTCCAAGTCGGACCCACTGAAGGTATCGCCATGGGTGACCATCTCTGGGTGGCCAGGTACCTCCTCCACAGAGTGGCGGAAGAGTTCGGAATCGTTGTGACCTTTGACCCTAAGCCAATGAGCGGCGACTGGAACGGTGCAGGCGCTCACACCAACTACAGCACGAAGGCAATGAGAGAAGATGGAGGCATTCAGTGAGTTCACTTAGACAGTACACACAGTGGTAGACGGTAAACGTCGGTGTGTACCCATTAGTCTCTAAACATTGATGTCAACTGCAAAACTTGGGTAACGGAAACGGAAGCCATTTTTGAAGACAATAACATGTTTTTCTAATACAGTTTAACGCCGCCCTCAGCAATTTTCCCGCTATATATAACGGCAGTCTGTAAATAATCTAGTCTGGACCAGACAATCCAGTGACTGACATCATGGGTATAGATCCATGCAATTTGGATACGATCCGCGATGACATGCATCAACCAAGAGCGCGAGCCTGACCACCTGATCCCGTTTAGACACCTCTCAGTTAACGTGGGAGATGGTGAACTATACTACTCACACTTTGCTTAGGATGTCAAAAATTCACAACTTTACTTAAACGTAGATTCATAACTTGAAATTGTATCCATTTAAATCTGAATAAATTATAATATGGTAACCCCTCTTTAAATAGGCAAACAGTCACTTTAATCTAACCTTATGCACCTGATACATGAGTAACCATAAAAAATGGTTTTCATGGCACCAGTCAGCCATTTTGCAAATCATGGAACGAGTCACTGACAAGTACACAACACATGTCAATAGCAAGTATGGGATACACAAGATGCAATGACATACTGAAACCTAGGATCCATGCTTGTAATAAACTTAGATATTGAAACAAAATTAGACACCACATCATAGTTTTCTGTTGAACCCATGATTTGATCCTTAGCAAAGTGTGAATAGTATAGTAAGTTGTAGACAGACAGAATGTGTTAACGTAGACGTAACTTGGTGAAGACACTGACCGTGGTAAATTGTAGACGTTGGTGTAGACTATAAGCGTTGTTGGAGACGTTGGAAACAGTCGACATAATATGTTCATGTAGACGTGAAACGTGGTAACTGTTGCTGTAAATGTATTGCAGACAGTTGACGAAATATGTTTATAGACGCTTAAAGGCACTATGTCACACCACACCACTCTAAAAATAAATAATGCATTTATCTGAATAATACTATCAGCCCTCAGGGAAGCTACCATATAAATTATTCCCCCCACAATTACGTATTTAGATTCCCGCCGAACATTTTTTTAAGCGAACCCCATAGAGTAATGTCCCTTGGAGCGCTCTTTACGAACATCCTGTTTGAAATCGAATATGTGATTGAAACCAGCTCGGCAAACACCGACAACACCGCGTGCTACAGTTCTCGATGTACGGAGCAATTGTTTACATTCCATACATGGCCTCTGTTTAGAAGCTGTTCGCCTCGAAGTTTCAATTATCGGTTTCAGGCAAGTCGTAAGAGATAATATGTCTTTTATTGCATCAATAGTAAGCTAAAATGAGTGCAAATGTCCAAATATAATGTATAGGCCAAGATATTGTCGAAAATGTGTGGCATTGTGCCTTTAAGCTGTTAAGATGGTTAACGTCAAAGTAGGCAGACGACATTGATGTGTCAGTTACCTTTGCAGACGGTAAGACATGAGCGCAGACGTCGAAGTAATTTCAAACATTGAATCTTTCAGAGCTATTGAGGAAGCCATCGACAAACTCTCAAAGAAACACGTCCGCCACATAAAGGCCTATGACCCAAAGGAAGGCAAGGACAACGAGAGACGTCTCACGGGACACCACGAGACTTCATCCATTCACGACTTCTCGGCAGGTGTCGCTAACCGAGGAGCAAGTATCCGTATTCCCCGCCAGGTGGCGGAAGACAAAAAGGGTTACCTCGAAGACAGACGCCCATCGTCCAACTGTGACCCCTACTCCGTCACTGAGGTCATCGTTAGAACAACAGTGTTGGACGAGTGATAGTGGACCTGATATCGTCATCTGACAGCACCTTTAGACTAGAGACTATTCCCTTTTTAAAAATATATGTAGCCTTTCTTTAATTTTCCTTTAAATATTAAGGCGTAGAACAAGTGGTTAGAAAACGGAGGTGTTGGGTGACAATGTACGTTCCTGAAGCCCTGCAGTTATATGTTAGGCGTGGGTTCGAATCCTAATTCGCCGAGATTATAATCCTTTGTTTGTCGACATCCAACTCTCATGGGTTTCAGTAAGTGATAAACGTTAAAACGTCTACATCGCTTAGAGCTCTTGTCTCATTGAGATGGTTCATCGCGATAAAGCTGAAATGCTGTTCAACGGGTGACACCAAACTCTCACTTGAGTGTAGTAGGTGGTTGTCAACATTAGATTAACATTTATATGTTGTTTCTTTGATAATTCATATTTAAATTCAGACATGCGTCATTTTATGTATATCGATCTGTCCTTGAAAACGTGGAACACATTGTTCTGTCCACACTGAAACAATGCACTATCCGCTCAAACTTGATATTTCATGCATCATCTTATTCAGTCGCGTTATATTACTTTAAAAGCTTTGAGTTCGATATAGCTGCCAATTGAGACTGACGTCACAGGTGACCTTGAACTGCACGTCAAGATTTTGACTTCAGGAGACCAAAACAATATCCTGTTTTTTCACATGATCGGACTCATTGATCTCTCAAACCCGGTTTGGGCTTTCCTTTCACATTAAGTCTTCATGAAACTGTAATACTTTTCAAAGGTCATCCGTCTTACATCCGGGGCAAAACATTAACCATCATGGCGCCAGGCTTGCAGATGAGGTTTAATGTTGATGTAGATATCGTAACAATATACGGTAATTGTCATGTGTCTTTTTGAATATGTCGTGTCTATGCAAGTAGAATAACACAGGTTTACAGAACGACAACAAAACACCTAATCTGCCATAGTTTTTACCGCAATGTACATATTATGTTACATGATGAATGATATATGTTCCCGAGACCCGGTTAAATGTCTCGATGTTTATAGACTGATATATCTGTCCTCATATTTTAGACACGTTATATGAAATATATGTTTAAAAAAAATAAACTATTTTAACATGGTGAAGTCTTATTAAATTTGAACTAATTACACACGTCTTGTTATGTCTGGTTTCACCCCAATGGTACCCGTGAAGATCCGGGTTAGAATTGGTCTTCAGCAACTCATGCTTGTCGAAAGAGGCGACTAACGGGATCGGGTGGTCAGGCTCGCTGACTTGGTTGACACATGTCATCGTATCCAAGTTGCGTAGATCGATGCTCATGCTGTTGATCACTGGATGTCTGATTATCTCTTGATTATTTTGAGATCGACGTCATAACTCGGATCTTATACAGCCACTTTCAAATATGTCTCTTGTCATCCTTTCTCTAGAACAAAACTTTCATCTGACCTTCCATGAACGTGAACGTTTAATAATTTAAAAAACAAATATTTTCGATAAACTTTGTAATCGTTGATTCAGGTTGCGGGTTGAAGCAAATCGCTCCTGAGTGGCCCGCCTGTGTCTATGTGAAACCTTCACATGTCAAGAGGACGATCCGTGCTGGCGTGAAAACACGATCCTACCTGTTCCATGAAAAGATTCTAAAAATAAAACTACCTGTAACTGACAACTTTACATCGTGTGATGTCCGCACACCAGTACAATCAAACAGTGCATGTCAGCAAAGCTTCTATGTACATACACCGTGTATATCATTCACCAAAACATGCCCCATGGTTAACAAAGAAACGATGTGTATATATCACGAAGAGATTAAGATAAACCGATATCAGGGAATGCCTTACTCGAATATTGACCTACGTTGTTAAAGATTTATACAACCGTCACGTTCCTCTGCTTTGTCCCAGTGACCTTTCAGTAAAGGTCAAGGTAGGGATATTTGGGGTTAGATTGGTCTGAATGAGGTGGTGACCTATACTTGCACGGATTGTTGGATTCTAATGAGATGTTGATTCAGCATTTTATTGTATTAATTGTTATAGTTGATTCTTAAACTTCAGGGTTTTTCTGACATTGAACTTAATTAAAGTCATGCTGCTCTTTCCTTGTGTTGACACACCAGTGGATTTTCATCACGCATGGTATTCCTAGTCCACAGTGGACAGGGGTAGCCAAGTGGTCAAGGCGTTCGCGCCTCACACCGAAGACCGGGTTCAATTCCCTATATGGGTACAATGTTTGAAGCCTGTTTCTGGTGTCCCCCGCCGTGATGTTGCTGGAATGTTGCTACAACTGGCGTGAAAACCAGCTCACTCACTCACTCACGCCTTTTGGATCTGGTACTCCGTGAAGATTCCGGGTTACACCATGTCCTCAAGACGACGCGTGTTTCTAAAGAGCTCGGAAGGTTTCAATGTCTTGATTATATGTCAGCGTTCGTTGGTGCTTAAGCTATCAACCACTAGTTTATCAACGCCGTGTGCAATACGATATGACGAAGTAGGGTATAAATACAGGCGTTTTTAACTAGTTCGTCATTTAGGGTAGAGGGTAACAAGAACGTGTTAGATGAAGAACTGGCTTAAACCTGAGAGGCGAAAAGCTGTGGGACGTTATCATTAACTGATGGAGGAGCTCCGCCTTGATGATCATGAGTCTTCTACAATGTCTTGAGAATCATCCCACCCATCATGGGCGGATCCAGGAATTTTGAAAGTGGGCTCCGCCAACGCACACAATATCTTCAATGGGGTCATAAGTCATTTTCGGGGGGGGGGGAAAGACCCCGAAACCACCCCCACCCCCCACTGGATCCGCCATTGCCCATGTTTGATGAACTTCTTGAACGCATCACCCCCTTCATTAAAACGACCTGTCTTTCTTGGTCCATCATTCTTCTTCCTTGTAGGCATGGTGATGTCGATGTTTCCACCTTAAAACAGGACGGGAATGGGAATGAGAATGGACAAGAACGTACTGGGTACTTATAGAAATCGGACCAGGACGTGATTGCACGCACAAGAACGGAATGAGTGCGAAACAAGTTGGTCGAGTTAATAATGAGTTAGAACGGGGTTGTGCGTATTAAGAACGAGATAGGTCTAGTTCAGAATGGATATAACCTAAGGACCGGATTAAACTGCTTGAAAACGTTGTCCACACAGGGTGAACGGGCAATTTTTACAAAAGTTACACGTTTTATCCCGTTTGAGCCCGATTTACAACGGGGCAGGACGTACTAAGAGCTACCTTGTGTAACTCAGGCTTACCCAGATAGGTTAGTATTGACATATACTGACTGTCGAGTTTGTCGCAGTATAGGCAGGTTAATGTGTCCCGAATGTGTTTATCTGCATGGGTTGTATTGTGATTACAAAACGTCTTTGTATATTGAGCCCATCAATCGTGAAGTTCCCATTCACAGTCATCCAAGATATTCACATATTTGGGATAAAAGACGACGCTTCAATGCCCCCCAAATGTTAAAACATTTTAAGGTCAAACAATAATTATACCTGTGGTGCGAATAACACCATCAAATGTCTCTGAAATTCTGACAAAATGCTCTCTATACTTGTGAAGAGATGCGTGTGTCTCTCTAATGCCATTACGCTCATGTCGAATAGACTCGTGGAATAGTTGTTTACAACAAGGGGCGGTGGTGTAGTCTAGTGGTTAAAGCGTTGGCTCGTCACGCCGAAGACCCGGGTTCGAATCCCCACATGGGTACAATGAGTGAAGCCCATTTCTGGTGTCCCCCGCCGTGATATTGCTGGAATATTGCTAAAAGCGGCGTAAAACCAAACTCAGTCAGTCAGTCAGTCAGTTTACAACAACACCAGGTTTAGGAAAGTTTTATGACATCTCGCAACAGTGATCAAAGCAGCCAGACGAGGCTAATGTTCGAAAAGCACCTGAATCTGGCAGTAATATAGTTATTTTATTACTTTAGAGAGATGATTCATACTGAATCACCTGATTCACGTAAATCAGTTTCACGCTCGTAAGTGAGAGTGAGTGAGTGTGGTTTTACGCCGCTTTTAGCAATATTCCACCAATATCATTTCGGGAGACACCAAAAATGGGCTTCACACATTCAGTACCCAGGTGGGAATCGAACCCGGGTCCTCGGCGTGACGAGCGAACGCTTTAACCGCTAGGCTACCCAACCTCCCCAGTATTGAATGCGTTAAGACGTATGTGTGATAGTTGCGGCCAGCCGTAGGCAACTGAATTATGACAATTGCGACTAGTGCATCCGTTAAGTATATCCGAAGTGGTGTTGCTGGAATTCTACTTTCATTCAAACTGTCTACGATAGCGGGTTTCAGGTCACACTAATAACGTGTATCTATGTGACATCATCTTCGTCACGTGCAGAATACAACTAACCACACGTACGTTACAACACACCCGTGAAGATTCAAGTTAGAACTGGTCTTCAGAAACCCATGTTTGTCGAGGCGACTAACGGGATCGGGTGGTCAGGCTCGCTGACACATGTCACAGTATCGTAGATCGATGCTCATGTTATCAACCACTGGATTGGACAATCAAGGACCTGGACTGGATCAGAACGCCGGCATATAGCTGGAAAACTGCATGCGTTAAACAAAGAAAACTTACTTAGTTGGATTCTTATCAGGGTCCTGCATATGTTGGCAAACGAAAAGGTTTTGCAAGATGGTAATATACTCTCCCAAGAAAGAAACGCATCATGAAAATAGCAATTTCATGTAGCAATGAATTAAAACGTGATTCATTTTACAAAAGGTTTTGCTCTGTTTATGATTCCTATGGTGTTTATGTTTCGAAACATCACAACAAAACGCACCATCCGTAAAATACCCGTATTTAACAGCATGATTTTCAATTTCGGCGTGTAGTGTCACAGAATACACAATTCACATGCAATGCACGTGAAAGTTGGGGATCAGATAGTCTCAATGATGGGTATAAAAGGTTGATCGCTGTCTGTCGATTATTCACTGTATTTGGAATATTGTTGACGAACGCAAAATGCCACGTCTAAGTGAAGCCAACCGTCATATCGCCATTGGTTTGCTTGAAGCTGACCAGTCTCAACGTGCAGTTGCCCGACGCATGAATGTTCACCAAAACACCATTTCACGGCTCTGGGAGAGATATCGCCGGCAGAATGCGGTAGCAGATGCCCCTCGTAGTGGGCGATCTCGAGCGACCACTGCGGCGCAGGATCGCTACATCCGGGTACATCACCTGCGTCATCGAACAGCTACGGCGACCAGTACCGCTCGACAAATACCCGGATTGAGGAGGCTTTCTGCACAGACCGTCAGGAACAGGTTCAGAGAGGCTGGTTTACGTGCCAGAACACCACATTTTGGCCCTGTGCTTCGACAACAACATCGTCGACATCGAGTTCAATGGTGCACCAACGTTCAGGCCTGGAACCTACCAAATTGGCGTAGAATCTGGTTCAGTGATGAATCACGATTTCTATTGGAACGACGCGATGGAAGAATACGGTCGTACAGGCGTCGACGTGAACGTTTCGCCGACGCTTGCGTTCCCCAGGTGGACAGATTCGGCCGGGAAAGTGTTATGATGTGGGGAGCGATCACCTGCCATAGGAGAAGTGATTTGGTGATGATCCAGGGCAACCTGACAGCTCAACGGTACTGTGACGAAATCCTACGCCCACACCTCCTTCAAATCATTGATCGCGAGAGGGAGTTGTTTCAACAGGACAATGCCAGGCCCCACACAGCACGTCACACTAGAGACTTCCTCCAGAACCACAACATCAATGTGCTCCCCTGGCCCTCAAGATCACCGGACTTAAACCCGATCGAACATCTGTGGGATGCTCTGGACAGACGGGTGCGACGCCGTAACCCTCAGCCACAGACACTTCAGCAACTCGCACAGGCACTACAGGCAGAATGGGCTGCGATTGGGAAACACGAGATTCTGAGACTTATTCGTTCGATGCCGAGGCGATGCCGTGCAGTTCGGGATGCCCACGGTGGTCACACGAGGTATTGACTTCAGCGCCACCACACGTCTCCATGTGACACTCAAACTGACTTTCCTCGAGTTGGTGCCAAAGACGGATAAGTCTGCATTCCCAGTGTGCAATTTCGCTATATTTCATTGACTC